ACAGCCCCCCCCCCCCCCCCATAAGGTGGTGAGGACTATCACGGACAGCCCGCCCCCCCCCCTCCATAGGCGTGGAGAACAATCACGGAACAGCCCCCTCCCCCCCATAGGCTGTGAGGACTATTAACTGTTCTACAGCTCCTCCCCCCCCCCCACGGGCTGTGAGCACAAGAGAAGGGAGATGTGGGTAAGACACGCAGGCGGGAGTCTGGCAGGATCGGTGTCCAGTGCAAGGTGCTACTGCTGCTAAGAGCTGATGGGAGGAGAGACGGCTGGGAAGCAAGGGCTGCGCGGGAGGAGGACCACATGGCCGGCCTCTGGTCACCGGGTGTGCTGGACGGGGACACGCCAGCCCATCAGAGCCAACTCTGAGCACACCCAGGGCCCAGAAAGCTTGGCAGCCGCACACCAGGGCCAGGCGGGGGCCAGGATGTCACACCGTTCCCCCGCCAGAGCTGTCAGAAGCCATGTGGGCCACCCAGAAACAACCAGAAACCAGCCCAGGTCCTGGCCCCTCTGCTCCAGAAGGGCCCCTGGACCTATGTCCCCGTTTTCCAAACAGGGACGCGAAGGCCTTCTCCAGGCAGAGGAGAGAGCGCCTGCTCAAGGTCACAGCTAATCAGCAAAAGAATGAACATTGCAGGAATGCGATTGGTAATAACAGCAGCTCCTGTTGCCCGTCTCTGCGGCCAAACCCTGTGCTGAGGGCTTTATACTGATGACCCATCCACAGCTCTAATGGCCCTTCAAGGCAGGTCGGGTCAAGATTCCCATTTCACAGATGATTTCACTGAGGCCGAGCAAGGAGCAGACGGTGCTGGAATCCGGGTCATCATGGCCTGGGGGTCTGGAGGCCCTTCGCAGACTGTTTGGCGCAATAAATTATCCAGAGACCAGGACAGCTCCAGCTGCAGGGCGCGGGAGGCAGCCACTGAGAGTCAGGCTGCCCGGCAGCCATCAATTATGCAACAGGGCTTGGGTTTCTTTCTCCCTGCAGCTCCCCACCTGAGACCAGCCGCTCCTGGCCTCCTCTGACCTCCCCCAACCAGGCCTCCCAGAGCCAGGCCCTGAATCTGCCACACCCGGCTCTTCGAGGCTGTGGCGTTAGCTCCATTTTCCAGACGAGGAAACCCAGGCTCAGAGAGGCAGTCACCTTCCGGGCCTCAGTTTCCCGCCTGGAGAATGGGGATATCAGGACTTATCTCAGGATATTTGGAAAGTGCTTAGCCCTGGGGCCGGCACACAGCACAGGTCTGAGGAGTGTTAGCTGGTGTCGTCGTCATCACTAACAAAGGGCCTCCTCCCTCGGGTCTCTCTCCGGCTCTCAGGACCTACCGAGGGACCTCCTCATCCCAGGGGTACCAGGCACCGCGTCTAGGTGACATGCACCTGCCTTACCAAGGGTAACAGCAACCCTCCCCGCCCAGCTCCGTGGCCACCTGTCCCTCACACCCCATGTCCACCCAGGTGCAAAGTCCTACCAGGCGCTCCCAACTTCCTGGGCATCCATCCCCTGTCCACTGCTGCCTGCTTGGATCATGTGACGCCACCACCTCCCCGGCTTTTATTGTTATTGCTCATAGCGCTGCTATTACTATTACTATAATTACCACTGATAGTATTAGCACGATCACTTCCACAGCCCCCTCCCACCCCCACTGGCACCTTACCCAGATGTGCCTCCGGTTTTCCTGCCTCAGTGCCCTTACTAGGCCGTTCCCACCACCTGGACGCACGTCACAAACCCCTCCAGACTTTCAAGGCACAGTTCGGGGACTAGGAAGCCACCCCCAGGATCACCCATGCCCAAGGGGTCCTGCCCTCCAGATCCCCCCCTCCCCTAGCCCAGGTCCGGCTGCCTAACAGATGCAGTGGGGTGAGGCTCTTAAAGGCCCTGGTACATGCAAGGGCTGAGCGCTTCCCCAGCAGGTCCCGGGACCTACACAGAGGAGCTGCTGGTACATTGTTACTCCAACACCCCTCTCATCTCTCCTGGCGACTCCTCTCCCAGGGCAGCCTGGCCTCGGGCAGGTCCCGAGTGTCCTCTCCTGCTCAGTTCGCAATCCAGGCCCTCCCTCCTCTGGCCTGCCACCCCGCCCCAACCCTGCCCCGACCCTTATGCTCCCCCCGGTGCTTTCGAAGCTGCAGTGGGTAGCCCATGGCTGCTCCCTGCAAGATGGCAGCAGCAGGGGGTGGGCGTGCAGAGCCAGAGAAAGCCTCTATTTATAAAGTTCCCAGCTCCCTCCCCCACCCAGGAGGCTGGGCCTGGGCGCTGCCTCCCACTCCGGTGTGGGTCACCCAGTGGGCCTGCCCCCACCAGGCGAAGGAAGGCCACAGGCCCCAAGCCTCCCCGTGCCCAGGCTCCGCGGGTCCTGGCCAGGTCAGGTGCCGGGCCCCATAGTAGCCGGGAACCCGATCAGGTTCTTCCCAGATGTGAGAGATAACGCGACTGCTGCACCGATGCTGGGGAGGGTCCCCGCCTTCCAGAGAGACTGGGCTGTCCCAGGGGCTCCGGGGGCCCGGCATCCCCCCCGGGCTGCAGTCACATGCAGGGCTCAGGCCACCCAGCCTCAACGGGCAAGTCGTCCACGGGCCACTGTGCTTTCTAGTAAACACGGCCACATGGCTTCCCAGAGACTGTCTGGGGCTGGGCTCCTCCAGAGAACAAACAACATGACAAGGACAAACGCCAGACCCGCTCCCAGAGCGCTGGGAGGACTGGGCGCCCCAGCGCAGACCAGTTCCACCAGGTCCAGGTCCGCGGAAGGGGATTGGAGGCCTTGGGAGAGTGACTTGCCCAAGGTCACATGCCGCACAGGTGCAGCAGCAACATCAACATGAGCTTGCCTTTGGTGCGCACCCACCTGCACAGCGCCAGGAGCCCTGGCAGCCATTCTGGGAGGGAGAGAGGGTGGGGGGGCGATTCCCATTTTTCAGACTGAGAGACTGACGCCCAGAGAGGTGAAGCCCCTTCCTCAGGGTCACAAGAGAGAGCATCCACTCCCAGAGCGGACTCCAGGTCTAAACCATTACCTTTAGCTGCCTCAGTTTCTCTCTCTGCCTCCCAGTGGATGGGACTAGTTCCAATCCCAGCACTACCCGCCTGGACAGCTTCCCAAGGTACCCAGCCAGCCCCCAACCCTCTCCCCACCCCCCAGGCCTGGCGAAATAAGAGGAAACAGGCCTCCCGGGGAGCGGAAAGGAAATTACCCCAGCCCGCAGGCTTCCGGGCTGCCTATCCAAGCGGGCGAAAGGGACCTGTGGGAATGACCGTATCACGAGCCCATTGCCCAGCGGAGGAGACTGAGGCTCGGAGACGGGATCTTAGGGGAGGCACGAATCCTTGGGCCGGGGACTCCGGCTTCCAAAGGCCTGCGGGAGCCAGAGCCGCTGCTGGACCAGGGCAGGCGGCAGGCGCCGCTGGGTGCCCTCTCCCCTCGTCAGCGGAGCCCCCACCGGGCCCTGGGCAGGGGCCAGGGCGGCGGGTAACCCGGCCGGACACCGATCCCTCCCCCGCAGCCAACAGGGCCGCGGCCCATCTCAGTTCCTCGAGCCGGGGCCACGTCGGAGTGTTGTGGCCATCGTGAACTGGGCGCCGAGGAGCTTTTCTCTCT